GGCTTGACACCGGAACGGCCGGCGGGCTTGACTTCGTAGCGGCCGACGGGCTTGACATCGGAACGGCCGGCGGACCCGACTTCGTAGCGGCCGGCGGGCCTGACATCGGAACGGCCGGCCGTACTGGGCTGACGACTAGTGTGGAGCTTCGGAGGACAGCGGGGAATGTGGGGTTGGGCAGGTGGTAGGAGCCGTCGGAGTGGTATGTGGAGGTTCTCGGCGTGGGGTGAGCTGGGGAGACACGGCGCGTTCCAGCGGGAGTTGGATGACGAGGCTTGGGAAGTTTCTTTACTTCTTCCACTTCTAAATCAGAACCATTTAAGAACAGCACGAGATTAATCAGCTCGATCAGGGGGAAAAAAAAATCACACGTCGGAAGATCGCAGCGGATTATCTCGTCATCCAACCCCATCAGGAAGCACGCACCTAGAGCAGCGTCGTGCCAGCTCACCCGGTTAGAGAGCTCGAGAGAACCCTCCACATATCGCTCCAACCTCAGACCGCCCTGCCACAAACCCCACAGCGTGTCCTCAGCTGCAGTCATCTTTTTGTGGTCGAGTCTTCTGTCACGGTGCGTAGGATGGAAACGAGGAGATGACATTCAAAACTTGACTTTTAATAAACAAACCAAATGAAAAGGAACACTAACATAGGGAGCGCAGGAGACACACATGGAATGACTTTTAAGAGTCGACAAGAAAACATGAGGCAGACTACACATTTATACTAAACTTAACGAGGGACAGACAGGTGCGAGGAATCGACTAATAATGAGACAACGAGAACAGGAAACCAAACCAAATATGGGCATAAGGAAACAAGAGGGAGAACTAGAACTTGGGGAACAAAACACAAGAGACAGGAACACAGGCCTGACAGTACCATGGTGCAGTATTTTTTTCTGTAACCTTTTTTAATCTGATAGGTGCGACAGTATCTAATGAGAAGACTGTGCCCATATTGCTAGTCCTTTCATCTAGTTCATTTGTGTCTATGGGAACACTGAGCAGCTGAGACAGATCAGGCAGATTATTTGTGAATCTATCTTTAGTGGTTGGGATAAATGTTCTACCTAGACAATAATGCGGAGCGATATGACAAATATCAGCAGTATTAAGTACGTTACAAGGTAGTGGTCAGTGACATCATCACTTTGCTGTGTAACGTCTATATCAGTAAGATTGGTTCCATGTGATATAATTAAGTCTAGTGTATGATTAAGATGGTGAGTGGGTCTAGTGACATTTTGCTTGACCCCAAATGAGTTTAGTAAATCTGTAAACGCAACCCCTAATGCATCATTTTTATTATCAACGTTAATGTTAAAATCTCCGACAATCAACGCTTTATCAACACTGACCAGTAGGTCTGAGAGAAAATCTGCAAACTCTTTTAGAAAATCAACATAGGGCCCTGGAGGTATATACACATTAGCCAAAACAAAAGATAGCAGGGATTTTTTTTTCTTCTATCTGTAAGCATAATATTTAGCACAAGCACTTCAAATGAGTTAAACCTGTGTCCTGTTTTCTGAGTAGCATTAAGAATATCTCTATATATTGTTGCGACACTGCCGCCACGACCAATCAGACGGGGCTCATGCTTATAACAGTAGCCTGGAGGAGTAGACTCATTTAGACCAAAATAATCATTTGGTTTAAGCCAGGTTTCAGTATGGCAGAGTACATCAAAACTATTATCTGTGATCATTTCGTTTACAATAATCACCTTAGGTGTGAGTGATCTAATGTTTTGGAGCCCAAGCTTTAGAAATAATTGTTGTTCACTTAATTTGTGATTTTCTGGTTTAATCACGATCAGATTTTTTCTAGATCCTATAGCCTAATAGATGTATTATTTGAGCTCATTATTATTCGGGCAACAGACACAGTCTCTATCGAATGGACTACACATGCGCTACTATCAATGAAGTTGGTAGAACAACAATGACTTTGATTTGAGGTTTGACTTACTAATCATATGGTGCATAGGGTCTTGATGTAACAGATGTGATAACAGAAAATTTAAAGCTGAGTTTACATATCTGAAATGATCTGATTTTACCTAGCTCAAAAAAAAACTAAACAAAAAAAAGAACTTGTATTTGCGTCTTCTAATTTCTGTCTTCAAACACAGGGATGTTTCCCAGCTAACAGGAAATGTTCAACTGTAGATAACATTGTGGCAAGGTTCTCAAAATACTGGACAAACATTATTCCAGTAACGTTAATAAGAACGATTGTTCAAAGTTATGAGGTCTTTAATAGGCCTAATGTTCTCAAAATGTTAGCAAAAAATATTATTTATACATCGTCCATGGAACATTTTGTCTGAAACGTTTTGGTTAGACGTGCGACTAACATTTTTCAAATGTAACTACTCGTTTCAAAATCTTTCCTGAATCGAATCGAACACCTATGAATCGTGAATCGAATCAATTCACTGGCTACTCAAAGATTCACACGCCTATCGCAAGCACTCGTCTATAAATGAATCGTTTTGGTGAACTCATTTAAAGGGATCATATGATGCGATTTCAAGTTTTCCTTTCTCTTTGGAGTGTTACAAGCTGTTCGTGAATAGATAAGATCCCTAAAGTTGCAAAGACTAAAGTCTCAAACCCAAAGAGATATTCTTTATAAAAGTTAGTTAAGACTGGTCCACGCCCTCCTAAAACTCCTTGTTTAAACACGCCCCTACATGTCTACGTTACTATGTGGGAAGATTTGCATAACGCCGCCCAAATGTTCACTCAAACAAAGAAGGCGTAACTTTTGATTCTCGCTGTAGTTTTGTTGTTGCCACCGCCGCCATGTCGTGAAGACGCTGTGTGTTTCGTTGTGAAAGCGAAACTACTTTGTTTGGTCTTCCAAAAGAGGACACGACTAGAAATCAGTGGTTAAGTTGTATTTACAACACTGTTCCAGAACACTTCAACCCAAATATTCAGATGTGTGCAACGCATTTTACGGAGGACGAGGACTGTTTCCTGGGAGAGTAGCCGACAATGCCGGTGTTCCGGTGAATTCAGTTCCCCTGTTTCCCCTTCGGCGCACATGCTGACCCTATACAGTCTATGATGCTGACAAATAATGCTGACTCACAGCCTGTAAGTACGTTTTCATATTTAAAGAATTTGCCACTGACGATTCAAATGCGAGTTTTGAGCAGTGTAGAGTAGGCTTGTTGTTTGTCATTTCTCCAATCACAAATGCAGA